GCTCACAGCGTGACCGTGCGCAAGCGCCATCTTACTCTCTCTGTCAGAGAGAGTAAGATGCTCTGTAAATGCTGCTGTAAATGCTCTAGTCAGAGCATTTACAGCAGCTGTGATGCGGGCCCAGATGCAGAGCTCCAGAAAGTTTCCACATGAAGTCTGGATCCTGCATGAGGATTGTTAAAGTTAAAGAATTCACCTGAGCCAGACAGAAAGTGATATGTGGTTCAGAGTTAAGGAGACTTCATTTAAATTATATTAATGTAATAATCAGTTCTATGTTCTAATTTTGGGGAATCGTCAACACGATTGACTAAGGGGGTACTTGTGGTACAAGAAAACGGCTCAGGGGGTCCACAAGTCAAAAAAGATTGGGAAACCAATACGGGCTCTTCCAATTTTTAGTATTTCTGTCATTTATTAGTTGAAATTTCCGAAATTTCTGATCAAATATATTTCCGTCCTCAGACATCAGACATCCACAGGCCACCCATCGCTGCCCCTCCAGATATGTCCCACGCTCCATGAGATGCCACATTGTGCGCTCATCATCTGCCGTGAGGCGCGTTACATGCACAGCACCTTCAGTCCAGGCACAGGAGAAAAAAAAGACAAGTTATCCGACACCGTGCATGCTCCCGCAATGACTGACAGCAGCAGCATCTGACCAACCGGTGGTTAAATGCGACAACAGCAGGTGGAGCTGGATAGATGGCACCCCAAAAAAATATAGTGAGCAAGCACTAGAAAAAAAATGTCAAAACAAAAGGAGTGTTCCTCATTTGAAAGTGGGCAAGTTGGGGAAAAAAATAAATCCACTTGGAAATGTGCAGGTCATAAAGCTACATGTGAGAGTAAAAATGAAGCCAGTCATGCAGTTCAACATTTTATTCAATATTTGACACCTTCTACATCTCTAAAATCAGTCGGTTCTGTAACGTTTTGAGCAACCATGACTCAATCCTGACTGGGGCAGCTGTATAAACCCTAAATAACTCTTGTGAGAGAGGAATCTTTAGGAATGGAGCTCACGCTCCTCTAGTTAGTAAGGTAGCGCGACTCATGTTGCGAATGACCGCAGTCACCAATTCTTGTCACTTGTCTTACCCATGTATGTCTGATCTCTGAATTGTGTGCACTGAAACTCAATTTCGTTTCTCTGTATGTCCTGCACATGTGGTAGAAATGACAACAAAGACAACTTTGAGAACTTTTGAGAACTTTATGGAAGTGCTTGTCTTATCCAGCATCCTTGGTTTGTGTTAGAGGTGTCATTCCCTCTCATCCACCTCATTGCAGTGGCCTGGGCCAGGGCCCGCTGCCCCCCAGTCCCCCCTGAAGCCCCGCCCCTGACTGTGGAAGATAATATTCATGCTGAGTGGTCTAATTTGTGTCGACAGATGTACTTCAACAGCACACTGACTGACTCTTCCAAGCTGCTCAAGCCCCTGTTGGTCTTCTCTTTCATCATGAGTGCCATCATCTGTGGTTTGACCCGGATTATTCAGTACAAGAACCATGCCATTGATGTTTACCTGGGGTTTCTGATTGGAGGTGCCATTGCTGTCTATCTGGTAAGTCAGCTACAGCACACAGATCTCCCTCTTGTTTTTCTGGAAACAACTTTGTCACAATGAACCATCAACTTCAACAATAAGCAAACAAAGGTCTTGATGGATTGCTCCAGCATATCCACTGTCACCTCACAATATGTCCTGTTAGATTGTCCTTGTCACTGCTATACTGCCATTAACTACAGAACACTGTTTCTTCTTCACAGCTTGCTACTTAGCAGTTTTTATTTTTATTATTTTTATTTTCAATTGATTCATCTCTCCAAATAAGAGATAAAACATATTCAAAAACTTTGGCCACTTTTTTTTACATTCTTGACATCTATGGTGGAATGAGTTTGGGTTTAATCTGTGAAAAAGCATACGGACCCTTAACACTCTACAGTACATGGGATCATCCATGTGTCTCCATCCAGCCTTTGCCACACCTACCTGAGCCCCATGTACATTTTGGATTGGAGTTAGCTGTCAGAGGTTTGGGTTTTCAAGTTTGTTATCACTTTTCATTAAATTTTGCCAGGAAGTTGAAGAACAAAACCAATGATTATTGTGTTTATAACACATGATCAACTCAAAACCTACCCCTCCCACCCCTTCCCGCAGGTGCACCAGTCATTACGTCCCGTTCTACTTGGCGAGTTGTCTCTTAAGGTTACACACTGGCATCTGAAATGGCGTTATTTATTCTTGCTGATGCTTTCATATTGGCAGTGTTCATGTATACTTGTAGCTAGTCTAAAGACAAGTTATTAGGCGGTTTCCATCTTTGAAGTATGATTTCTTCATTGCAGTCAGTTCTGCAACCCAGATTCTACGGGGTTTCTCTGTATGTGATAGTCACAAGTCATCATTTACAAACAGGATCCAAGGAGAGAGGGGCACCACTTGTCAGTAACACAAGGAGGCACTTTAACCCAGATGTCCTGAACCCCGGAACATTCTCATACAGGATAAAAAAAATGAACCCAGAGTCAAAACAAAACAAGATCCCAACCCTAACCCTCACCCAAGAGCCCGTTTTGTGTCTAATAATTGGTGTCAAATAAGTTCTATGACAAAATTTCATGTGCATAAATCGATTATTGTAGTTTTTAGAGGCTCTCTCTACATTCAGGTTTCAGGCCATGGGTGGACAAATCATCCTCCCTGGCACAAAACTACTTGAGAAGTTCAATCCATCAGTTCTTGAGAACAATAAATAATTCACAGTTTTTTTTTGGTGTCTTTTAATTAAAATGCTAAACCCGATAACGTTTGTGTTTCCAGGGACTGTATGCAGTTGGGAACTTTCAGTCCAGTGATGAGATGAGTAGCAGTTCTTCTTTACTTGTACACCAGGCCCCTTGCTCATTGCCCCATGTAAGCCAGGAGGCTGTCCTCCACCACTTACAGATGAAAGCTGGTATGGTTGGTGAGCCTGGCATACCCACCTCCCACTCTGAGGGCCTCCTTCACAGAAGCCTTCAGCAGCAAAGGCCTGAGGACAGCCTGAAGTGCTCCAGTGCCAATGTGGAAGTGATATCCCCTCATAGCCCCCAGGGTAAAGATGCTGTTATGACCTTTAGCCATACTCTCCCACGGGTTCACACTCCACAGGCCATAGCAGCTTATGAGGAAGCTGCCAGACGTCATGCCGCCACTCTCCACCATGCTTCCATGGACTCCAGCCGCTCAAAGCAACTTCTTTCTCAGTGGAAAAGCAAGAACAGTAATCATAAGTGCAACGTGATCATTTCAGATTCCTTCTCCTCCTCCATGGATTCATCCTCTGGCCAGTCCTCCCAGCATCCCCATCATGGCAGCATGGAGCTCAGATCCACCTCAGAACCAACGGCTGGGGCTCTAAATGGGGTCTTTGACAGTCATGCATATTTGTCCAAGCTGCCAACAGGTGCTAGTACCACCTTACCCAGTAACTGTAGCGGCATTACTGGAGGGGCCAGGATATCCATGCAGTCCAGACCTGGGTCTTCACAGTTGGTCCACATACCAGAAGAGGCTCATGAAAACTACAACCTTTCCCAAAGAAAAATGGAAGGAGGAAGTGAAGGCATGACATCAGGAAACAGCACAGTTCAGGCCAACTGGCAAAAGGCAGCTGAGAAGACTGTAGCATGCAGGACTAATGATATGCAAAACACCCAGCCACGAATCATGCAAGTGATCGCCATGTCCAAACAGCAGGGGCTACTGCAGAGCCACTCCAAGAGCTTAGATGAGAGCAGCATTGGCTGCAACACCAATGGAAGCTGCAAGAGTGTTGGTCGTTGCAACGTGCAAGCTGATCCAGACCGTATCCCCACCCCAGGGCTCAGCTCACAGGGCAGCATCACAGGCAGCATGTCAGGAAGCACTGGCGCAATCATTAGAGTAGATGCCCACCCTGAAAACAACAGACCAGTAATGCAAGCGCTGTCCACTGATGGAAGTGGGTCATGGAGATGGAGGTCTTTGGATCATGGTACTGGAGTTGGTGGAAGCACAGAAACCAGCTGTGTAGGTGGTGGGCCAGCTGCAGGACCTGGGAGTTTGAGGCAGTCTTTTGAGCACAATGATCAAAACGTTGACTCGGAGAGCTCAGATTCAATGCGTGAAGGGTCTGTTGACCGAAAACGAGGTAAACACATTCTTATTACAACCTCCACAATTGAGACTCCACCAGTAGTTACTGTACACACCCAGAATGCTTCTCAGTCTGAGCAGAGGCTCCACCCTCAGGGCCTTTCTACAATAAGGGTCACTCCTGGAGATGGTAGTGGCTCTGGGGCTGAAGGAGGTGGAGACACTGCTTCAGAAATCCACTCAGTTGCCTCCAGTCGAGAGTCAACACTGCGGCGAAAAGGCAATAATATTCTGATTCCAGAGAGAGCCAACAGTCCTGATAATGCTAGGAACGTTTTCTACAAGGGAACATCGATCTCTCCTGCTTTCAAGGACTGAATAATGATGAAGTTGGACGATTCTCCGAAGACGTAGCAAATTAACAGAGCTTTCAGAGAACCCGGTAGCAGGTAACCGTTAAAACATGAAAACGAGATGGTTTTATGTAGCATGAATTTTGTACGTGTTTACACTAAAGCACAACTGTTTATATGTTATAGAGATCACGGTGTACCTTTTGTGGTTGTTCCTAAAAAAGAATCATATTTTGATTTAGATGTTGTGCAGTACTTTGGGGGGCTGAAGCACCTTTTACAGAATAATATGGTTTGGAGTTTTTTTTTTAAGATCCCCAAATTAAGACTCAGCACTGCAAAGGATCATGTTATAGCTGTGAAACCAATGTTTACTTCCCAAAATTGTAAATATTGTTTATGCCTGAAGGCGGTGCTACACCAGCTAATATAGTTAGCATTACATAAACGTATTGTAGACTCTAAAAAAATATTTTACAAAAACGATTATGATTACGATAATTTATCTAAACTTTTTTCTATATTGTAACTTTTGTGTACAGATTCTGTCTTCAACAAAATACTGTTTAACCATAAGTGTGCCTAGCCTTCATTACGTAGCTACAAAGTCAGATTTATTGTCACTTGCACTGAATTAAGCATTTGCCGCATATGGTGTAGACTCAAAAACGATCCAGACTTTAACAGCAGCCAGTTCCAAAGACCCTGTGACATCAATATTTGGTCTTAAAGCACATGTTTAATGGTGGTTCGTGGTGAACTGGGCCTTTTCTCCCAGCAGACCGCTCTTATGGCACTTACACATTAGGGTCAGTACGGTCGGGGGAAGATAGCATCAGTTCAGTCTCATACGGCCATTGTAGCGTTCACATGTAATTCCGAAGGAGTTCTCGGGATCGCTGAAATCCCCGAGCACGTGCGGCGTTTATGACCTGTGGGAAAGTGTGGTGTCCTCCTTATTAACTCATTCACTGCCAGCCATTTCCTGATCAGAAAAGCCCTTTGTTGCCAACTTTCCTCACCGTTTTACAGTTTTTTTAAGAGTCGCAGAACGTTGCGCGCTAGGCTGATGTGGACGTCAAAACAACCAAAACAAAGCGGAGACTCACCTCTTACATCAGGAAGAATCCGCGTATTTCGAGTGTTATCCGTTCTTTCATAATCTGTTATTGAATTGTGATCGGCAAAAGCTTTTCTGGTTCACGCCTCACTTTTTTTTACAGCAGCGGCCCAAAACGATCTCCTAACGCATGGATTTTCTGCTTCCTGATCACGTGACATGTGATGTACACGGATGAAGATCGGCTTTAGAGCCGAGATGTTTGTCCTCACGGTGCGGGGGCTCGTTCCGATGCCCACGTGGTAAAAAAATGCAAATGACGACTTTAGACGTCAATGGCAGTGAAGACAATAAAAGGTGGACGCAAACTGTGTTGCTTTTGGAGACTGAACCACATTTTTCTAATAATTTGCTCCCTGTTCTCTCACTGCCGTACGTGTCCTCAAACTCAGCTCACACACACACACTGCTCTCTCCTCCAATTGAGACATTTGCTGCTCAGAGAACACACACACACAACTCTCTCTTTTGCCTTCCCACTGAGCGGGAGCTCCAGTTCTACAGACAGAGATGCTTACTCAGCATCCAGCATGGAAGTGAAACCCCTGCTGACTGATTCTACTCTCCAATCAGAAACGGTAGGCGTGAATTTCAGCTGGCCAATAATTCTGTGGTGTCACCAGGTGTGAAATCAAATCCCGGTCCTGTACCCAACCGTACTGACCCCAATGTGTAAATACAATTACACTGTTTGACCCAACTGACCTCTATCTCCGTGAGTCATGTTCTACCAGCTCAGTTTTACTTTCAGCTCTTCATCAGCTCATTTTTCCGTCCAACCTTCAGAGACGCCCTCAGTTGTTCGGGGTTTTTGATAGAGCTCATCCTTTGTTATGAAAACAGCAACCAGATCAGGGGTGGGCAGCTCCGGTCCTCGAGAGCCATTATCCAGTATGTTTTGTTTATCTCCCTGCTGCAGCATGCCTGATTTTCATCAGCAGCTGATTAACAGGCTTCTGCAGAGCTTGGTGAAGCAAGTGTGCTGGAACAGAGAATCAACTAAAACATGCTGGACAGTGGTCCTCGAGGACCGGAGTTACCCACCCCTGCGTCCAGACGTTGTTGTGTTCTACAGCTTCTGTGAGACTTTATGGAGTCATCAGGATTTGGACTGACTCACCACTGATGCCGATAAACTCAGATCAACATCCAGAACAGTTTGGTGACTAAAGTTACTCCCACACAAAGATGGATGAAGATGTGAACCGTAAATTTTCAGGGAACGTTTAAAACATCTGGATGCTCATACAAGAACATTTTACAGCAGATAGCATCACAGGGGTTTTGAACAAACAGATGTTAATGTCTGACCCTTTTTGTCCAACTTTTAGCTACATAAATGCCAGCCATGCCATTCCATCACAGAGAGATAACAAAGCAGTGGGTAGCTGTTGTCATTCTACTGTTTCCTTTGATTTATCCCAATGTAGAAGTTTATTACCTGAACACAAATTAGAATTGTGTTTGCAGCCAGTTACAGAGTTTAAAATCTAAACGGGTTAAAATCTGAAGGCAAACGAATGGAACACTGTAAAATGGAATGAGTTAAAGGGGTGATTTTTACATGTGTGGTGTTGATCCACCATCTCTGCCCCAGATACTCTCACAGGTTTACTGTGTGTATATGTACTGTACATAATTAATTATTTATCTGCTCTAAAAACAAATTCATACAGAAAACTGCACTGTGCTAACCATCAATTCACTTTTGTAGCCATAACTGGTTATGTAGCATTAACCTGAACTCACTATACAATTATGACCTAAAACTGCGTTTAAATCTTATTATAGGAGTTTAGTTTAATTTACTAAAAAAAATTATAAACACGATTTTACTTTGTGCCATAAAAGCTACCAGCAGGTTTCTTGTCAAACCAAAAAAGTTCCCTGCCATTCTTCCGTGCCCATTAAGCCACCAGGCAGGGTGTGTGTGCGTGTGTGTGTGTGTGCGTGCATGTGTGCGTGCGTGCGTGCGTGCGTGTGTGTGTGTGTGTGTGTGTGTGTGTGTAGGAGGGAGGGAGGGCATGGATTGTTAGTGGGTCTTAAGTTTTCAGTGTGTGTAGCAGTGACATCACACACACACACACACAGAACTGTTTGGAAAGTGTTTGCATCAGCCGTAGTGTGGGTAGTACAGTAATTATATCAGAATATTTGACACATTTATGTTTTATATTAGTTTAACACACACACACGTATATACATATATAAGTATTTGTGCAGCCAGCCTGTGTTCAATTCTTTGTAGACCTTTTCCAAACCCCAGAAACATATGCATGACTTATGTTTTGTGTATCATAGGTTCTGTAGAGTACTTTTTGTAGAACCTACAGAAAAATTCTTTTTTTATTTGTTTTTGTGTCAAACGACAATCTTGGCATCTATGTAGGGTTTGGTTCTGTTCTGCAGCTGCCATTCATTTATTATATGAACTATTGTGTACATACTAAAGAGAGGTATGGAAAAAAACTGTTTTAATGCTAAATATTTCAGAAGGAACATACAGTATTTACAGTATTTTCGAAATAATTCAAGCGGTGCATATATTTTGAATACTAAAATGTATTTTCTGTTAAATTGTGTGCTTTATTGTTTGAGTCACTAAAGTGATTGGTTTTAAAACTGCACCCCAACAGGATGTTTGTTCACATGTTCTTTACAAATGTGACTATTGGTGCCACTCAGAAGGGACAAAAGTCAGGAAACAAGTAGAAATGTTTAGATTCGGCTATTTCAGAACAATCCTAATGAAGGGAACCCACTGTTCCCCAGACCAACTGCATTGGATCTCAGAGGACATGCTTCAATCCTTCCCAATAAAGGTCTTAAAAATGGACCATAAAACATCTAAAGCTGATGAAATATTTGTTATTATAGATTTGTGGTAAAGCTTCTGATGCATGCAAGTCATGTTGTGTTGAAATCAAAAACATAAGTTTCCATGTACAAGCTAAAAAAAACAAGTAGAGTCTATTCGGACGTCAGAAACCCATTTACACGGGGGATTAGGAGTGTCTTTGCTCCACTGCTTTCCCTTTTAACCTCAGAGTAATGGAAATGTTGAAATAATATTTTTAACTTTTCTCTGGATTTTGTAATGCTGATAAATCTAAGTGGTCCCAATACACTCTTGTAACAAATGTACCTTGTAATTTAGTATTATGTTGTGAAAGATAGAATAACACTACAAATATAATTATAATTTGTTTAAACTTACTGTAAAAATAGCAGAAACCCCTAGAAATCAGTTCTCACAAATGCCTAAGTATAACATAGCAATAACACAGTTACAGTAGCAGCTTCCACTTTTCTGGTCAAAATTAGCTAATGCATTCATGCTCTATAAAACAATTACAACTGTGTACATTTCAAGCAACAAAAGCAAAAATAAATCAATCAATAAAAATAAAAGTTATAAATGTAAAACCTTTTAGTGTAGAGCTAACTGGTTAGCCTAGCCACCTGACAGTGCTTCAGTCTTTAATCCGACACGGCATTTAAAATAACAATTCCTGAATAAAGACAATGCTGACATAACGGGGGGGGGGGGGGGGGGGGGGGGTATGGATACACCAGTCAAAAATTAAAGCATTGTATTTACCTATTACATAAAATCTGTTACACTACTGAAGTAGCAGATGCTCATCCAACACATTCTCACTCCCAGCACGTCAAAAACAAACGCTTGGTCAGCCACCCTCCGCATCAGACCCCTGACGCCGTAAGTGCCCTTTTTCGTCACTTATGTGCAAAAAGGGTTTTTTCCCTTTTCTGACTGCAAATCTCAACGCAGAGTCAAACTGACGCGATGGTGTATCCGCTACCGTTGCATCCCAATGCAGCGTAAAACTGATGTGATGTCCGCAGCCAGGGCACCAAACAAGTTCATTGTACCTCACCCTAACCTTATCCTCTTGTTATTTAACCTTCCCCTCACCCCTATCCTAACCTTAACCATCTTGCTAGCGAACACGTTAGTGATGTGTCGGTCTCTCTAAAAGCCGGTGGGAGCTGCCTCGTCATTGATCGGGTTTGGACCGAGGCAATGCGAGGTTGAGGATTCAACTACCAAGGTGGAGGTTAAAAGTTAGAGGGTATGTGTAACCTCCCCCTCGCCAGATGGTATATTCTAACGGTCCCCTTGGGCGGCAAATACGAAAATTCACAGTCAGAATGCATGGGAAACAAACGCTTGATTACAATGAGAGTAACGTTTTAGGTAGCTAGAGGGTTATGGTTGGGATGAGGGAGAGGGGAAGGTTATAAATAGTAAAACGTTAAGGTTTAGGTGCGGTTAAATGAGCTGGTTCAGTGCCGCATCAGCGGATATCCCATCGTGTCAGTTTTACGCTGCACTGGGATCTGCAGTCAGAAAGAAGAAAACCCCCTTTTCGCACATAAGTGACGACAAAGGGCACTTTTGGCATCGGGGGTCTGACGCGGAGGGTGGCTGACCAAGCGTTTGTTTTTGACGCGCTGGGAGTGAGAACGTGTTGGCTCATCTAATGAGTGTCTGTGAGTGTGTGGGAAGGGTGTCCACTACTTGTACTATAAGGGGTTGCACAGGTGCTCGTCTACCAGGATGTTGCATCAACATGTGCAATAAACAGTAGGTTTGTGTCTCCAAGCACAGATCATGGGGAGATTCCATAACACAGGCATGGTCGCTTTCCCAATCGATAGCTGTTTTCAAAGAATTCCCTGAAGTTTTTTGAGGACCATATATTCACATAATTTTGAGAAATCAACATTTTGTACTAAGCTACACTTGAATTATTAAAAGAACTGTTTACAGGTACTATGAAACCAGCTTGTGGGATGTCACTTAATCATAAGTAGAGGTGCAGAAAATGATTTACGTGCTTTAGATCAAAGCCTTAAATTGATCCACTCCCTTTATGACTACATAGAGTTTCAGACATCACCACACTCAAACATATCTGATCCACGTTTATGCAGAATGACCATGAAGAACATAAACACGTGGAACCTTCTGTGTGTTCTGAAGGGTTGTGAAGTTAAAGTGTTGTGGCACAGATCCAATGGATAGAACTGTGAATTGGTCTTTTTTGCATGTTTAGACTGTTGTGTTGTTCCTGGGAGATTAATAAATGTTTTCTGATACTGTGGACTCAGGTGTACATTTTCTTTAGAAACTGTATAAAACAGCAGATCACAGAATACCTCTCTCAAAACTGTCTGCTTGACCCTTACCAATCTGGGTTCAAAAAGGGCCACTCCATTGAAACTGCTCTGTTAGTAATGACGGAATCCTTAAAAGCATTGGTTGTTGCTCTGGGTGTTTTAGTCAAAGCAGCAATAAAGTTACATTTATTTCAAATAATTGATTTGTTTGAAAGTTGTTAATAAAAGTTTTTGAGAAAGTTTCACAGCGACCAGCATCCCGGCATGAGTTGTGATCAATGACGCAATGCTCCCTGTATCAATTCTGCAATTATTTGCACACTTGTGTACTACACACTCGAACCCTACTGCGCATTTTCTCCAAGTGCACTTTGCTGAAGACCGCAGGGCGCTGTGTGAGTATTGAGAGTTAGAGATAAGGCCAACAGAACCACATCATCTGCAAAAAGCAGACTTCATAAATGATGTTAATCATCATTATGCCACCAAAACAGATCCCCTCAACACCTTGGATGTGCCTAGAAATCATGTCCATAAAAGTTATGAGTAGAATCATGACAAAGGGCAGCCTTGGCTGAGACTTTATACTTCTTCGTATGAGTCGGTACGGAGACACGCAACACCCTTATGCATCGGAGCAAGGGCTCTCCGACAGGCTCACAGAGGGAGATGGAGATATGCCCAACTTTTTAACTATCCGTCGAAAGTGACAGAGACTGAAAGCTTGTGATTGGTCAGGACGTCACTTCCTGTTAATTCAGCAACAGCACTGCCATTGCCTTGTCAAAAAAGATATTTAGGGGCAGACGTGTAACATATTGAACAATGCCTCACATAAAACGTCTGAAAATAGGAATGTTTATTCATCCATGACTGAAGTAGTGCAAAGATATGCAGCAAGCATTTTATTCATGGATGGAAATGATGAGAAATGTGGGTTTTGAAGTGCTGATGGCATGAAGAGGTGGAGGGGAATGAGGGACTAATTTGTCCATGTTCAAAAGTCTCTGAAATAAATTAAAACAATGTAAACACAATGGTAAATACACTACCTTGGTCCAGATACATGACTGTACAGGTGGCAGGATACCTCAGAACAGCGCAACGCCCTCTGTTGTCATGACGGGGAATTGCTTTGCAACACTCCCCAGGTAACGGAGAAGTCCAAAAGAAAAACATCTCTGTCAATGCGTCAATTTCCCTCACAGAGCTGACAGTGAAGTATAAATTAGGCTTTACTGCCAATAAGTTTCAGGAGACCCCATGGCCCCAAACTGCTGAACCACCTCCTTGCTGACATCGGACGACTCACCTCACTTGGAAGTTCTAACACAAAACGGAAGGTGCTTTATAAAAAACGGTATTTAATTGAAGTATGCTTACTTATGCTCAGCACCTCTCAGTAGAGGCTATTCCAAAGTAGAAATGTCCAACCCTTCTGAAGGAAACTGGTTCTGGAGCTAAAGCCAAGCTTCAAGGTGAGTCAGACCACAGGTGTGAGATTATGTACCAAGAAACAGCTTCTCTAGCCCAGGATGAGACCGCAAATGCCCCCTCTTTTAGCTACTGCCAATCTGCTCCAACCTTTTTGGTCCATCCCATGAGTGGAGAGCCTATGAGCAAAGATCAACGTAATCTCTACCGTAAGAGATTGGTTGTCGTTTTTGCAAAACCACCATTTTGCTTCCATCCACCCATCCAGCCATTTTCATCCGCTTATCCGGAGTCGGGTCGCGGGGGCAGTAGCCTAAGTCGAGAGGCCCAGACTTCCCTCTACCCAGCCACTTGGGCCAGCTCCTCCGGGGAAATCCCAAGGTGTTCCCTGGCCAGGTGAGAGACATAGTCCCTCCAACGTGTCCAAGGTCTACCTTTAGGTCTCCTGCCAATTGGACATGCCCGGAAAACCTCACCAGAGAGGCGTCCAGGAGGCATCCTGACCAGGTGCCCGAGCCACCTCAACTGGCTCCTCTCGATGTGGAGGAGCAGCGAATCTACTCCGAGCCCCTCCCAGATGACCGAGCTTCTCACCCTTTCCCTAAGGGAGAGTCCAGCCACTCTTTGGAGAAAACTAATTTCAGCCGCTTGTATCCGCGATCTCGTTCTTTACTACTAACTAACAAAAACCATTTTGTTTTAGTTAATTTTTAATATCAAGAAGGAAAAATAAAATAAAAATTATCAAAAAAAGTTAGGATATTTTTCTATGGGATGTTGATATTAGGGAAAAATTGGGTGAAAGTAAGTATAAATGCATCTAAAAATATCACTGGTAATTTTAGGGTCATTCTGTTGTGGAAAATCCATTGACATATATACTGGACAATTCATTTCCATAGGCTCCAATAACACGTTTTTGAGGCCAAATGGGAGGTGGCCACCACCGCCATTTTGACCGTGTCACAGGTTCCGTCAAGCCCAAACAATTCCACAAAAGGGAAGAGAGGTGGAGCTGAGGGTGGGGCTGTAAGGCTGGGATCAACTGACGACACCCGGTCGAACTAGCTACAAGCTAACCTGACGCTAACCCAAAGCTAACGCGGAGGTGGGAGCCGAGCTAACGGAGGTAGCAACCTAGCTTCAATCGGAGTTAATTGTGCACAACACCAGAGCTTCTGAGTCAGAGATACGCCGGGCTGACCGCTGGGTAAAACCGGGTGGAACACAGAGGTCTCCGAGACCTCCACAAGCCAGCAGCCACACAGCAGACAAGCGCCGCTGCGATCTGAGATGCGCAGAGCTGCCGCTGGGGAGAACCGTGTGGAAAGGTTTCTATCCCAGAGCTCCACAAGCCAGCAGCCCGCTCAGCAGACAGAAGCCGCGATCAGACAGAGATGTGCCGAGCTGCAGGGAGAACCAGCCGGCAGCCCACGCAGCAGACGGAAGCCGCGATCAGACAGAGATGCGCCGAGCTGCGGGGAGAACCAGCCGGCAGCCCACGCAGCAGACGGAAGCCGCGATCAGACAGAGATGTGCCGAGCTGCAGGGAGAACCAGCCGGCAGCCCACGCAGCAGACGGAAGCCGCGATCAGACAGAGATGTGCCGAGCTGCAGGGAGAACCAGCCGGCAGCCCACGCAGCACACAGAAGCTGCGATCAGACAGAGATGCGCCGAGCTGCAGGGAGGCGAGAACGGGTGGAAAACATCGGTCTCCCGAGAGCTCCACAAGCCGATGGTCGGAACCCAGCTCCACCAACATCTTATATTCAACCCATTTTCTAAAGTGCAGCATTATGTTAAATGCACTGGGTTTTACCCTATTACATTTAAATTTCACGGTTAAACAGTACATGTTAAAATCTAAGCTCAGCTCGGCAGTGACCTAAAATACATAAATATAATTTTACTTACCGAAAAAAAAATGAAGTGGAGACTCCTTGGATGCTCTATTAG